AAAAATTTCTTTGATAATATAATACACACTGTTATGAATGACAATAAGACAAAAGACAATGGGAAAGCAAGATTGGATTTAGCCATTTATTGTGACTGAAGAAAACTGCACATGGGATATAATACGCATGGTAAGCTTGTGAAACCTAATGCTAGTTATGCACTGACATCTGAAAAACAAAAGCTTCTATGTGCATGGCTAAAACAGTTGCGCTTTCCAGATGGGTTTGCTTCCAACTTATCAAGATGTGTCAACTTGAATGAGTCCAGATTATTTGGGATGAAAAGTCATGATTGTCATGTTTTCATGCAACGACTAATTCCAGTTGCTTTTCGCGGTTTATTGCCATCTGCTATTTGGGGTCCTTTAACCGACATTAGTAACTTCTTTCGTTCACTTTATTCCCCGGTCATTAAAGTTACTGAAATGCAGAAGTGGGAGGCAAAGATTGTTGAAATAATTTGTAAGTTAGAAATAATATTCCTCTTAGCATTCTTTGATTCTATGGAACATCTAGCAATTCATCTTCCATATGAGGCCAGAGTTGGTGGTCCTGTTCAATTTCGTTGGATGTACCCATTTGAAAGGTAAACCATACAAAGAAATTGATTGATAATTTTAAAACTTACTTTTGATTACTTTTTTTGTAAATTAATCTTATCAGTATTTCTTTTCAGGCGCATGCGCAAACTTAGGAGTACCATAGGGAATAAAAATCATGTCGAGGCATAAATTGTTGAGGCATTTATATTATACGAGATATCACACTTTTGCTCTCGTTATTTTGGGGATGATGTTGAGACAAGCTGGAATCAGCCTCCAAGGAACTATGGTGGCATTGGAACCAATGTTCCAAGTAAGTTATCCGTATTTTGTTCCCCTAGTCAATCAATAGGGGCCCACTCACGTACACGATGTTTAACATTGGAGGAGAAAAATGTAGCTGAACTATATGTCTTGCTAAATTGCAAAGAGGTTGATGTTTGGGTAACGTAAGTTTTACTTCTTAGGAAAATAAGAACTACACGATGTTTAATAGCCTATATGATTTTCATAACGTTTTAATTAATAAATAAATGTTATTTTACAATAAATTTGAGGAAGAAGTTGGTGCAAATTTGTCACATGAACAACTACAAAAATTACGAACAAATAATTTTGTTCAATGGTTTAAAAATATGGTAATGAATTGTTATATATTATTTTCTCAAATTTTTAATTAAATATTAAATATTACTAAATTAATTTTTTTTTCAAATATAGGTGTTTAGTG